TGGGATTACAGGCACGCGCCACCACGCCCAGCTAATTTTTTGTATTTTTAGTAGAGACGGGGTTTCACCATGTTGACCAGGATGGTCTCGATCTCTTGACCTCGCGATCCACCCGCCTCGGCCTCCCAAAGTGCTGGGATTACAGGCTTGAGCCACCGCGCCCGGCCTTTGTGCTCCAAATTTAAAAACAATGCATATAAAAATTTCAGGCCTGGGCCGGGCGCGGTGGCTCATGCCTGTAATCCAAGCACTTTGGGAGGCTGAGGCGGGTGGATCGCGAGGTCAAGAGATCGAGACCATCTTGGCCAACATGATGAAACCCCAGCTCTACTAAAATACAAAAATTAGCTGGGCGTGTTGGTGCACGCCTGTAGTCTCAGCTACTCTGGAAGGCTGAGGCAGGAGAATTGCTTGAACCTGGGAGGTGGAGGTTGCAGTGAGCCGAGATTGCACCACTGCACTCCAGCCTAGCGCCTGGGGACAGAGCAAGACTCTGTCTCAACAACAAAAAGAATTCAAGCCTGAGAGTGAGCAGTTTTAGAATATTTCTTTCTGTTTTCTTATTTGTTTTGTTTTTGGGTATTGTGTAGATATATTAAATACACATTTCTTGCCTTCCATCAGACTAAGAAAACCAAGTTGAATGAGACCAAGATTCGTGTCTTGGTTTTACAGAAGTTTTCCTTGTAATTTTACTTATTTATTTATTTATTTTTTCCCATTTATTTATTTTATTGCATTTTAGGTTTTGGTATTTTTTATTTTTATTTTTGTGGAGATAGGGTCTCGCTATGTTACCCAGGTTGGCCCCAACTCCTGGGCTCAAGGAATCCTCCCACCTCAGCCTCCTGAGTAGCTGGGACCACAGGAGGGCGCCACATGAGCGGCTAATTATTTTTTTTAATCTGTAGGGTCTCCACCTGCTGCAAAGGCTGGTCTCAAACTGCTGGGCTCAAGCAATCCTCCCACCTTGGCTTCCCAAGATTACAGATGGGAGGCACCACGCCCTGCCCATAAGGTTTTATTACTTACAGTCACACCCGTTGCAACAGAGACCTTCTGGTCTGCCAAGCCCAAGCCCAGCTTATTTTATTTACTACCTCATCCTTACAGAAGACACTTGCCAACACCCTTCTTAGACTTGTGCCAGAATTGCTGTTCTGCTGGTCATCTCTTAGGCCTCTCTCTTGGATCCCTCATTAGGCCACGAACTCCTGAGCGGTGACACCTGGGTTTTGCTGTTGCTGTTGTTTGAGACCAAGTCTCGTTCTGTCACCCAGGGTGGAGAGCCAAGTGCAGTGGTGCAATCTTGGCTCACTTGCAACCTCTGCCTCCCAGGTTCAAGCAATTCTCCTGCTTCAACCCTCAAGTAGCTGGGATTACAGGTGCCCACCACCACACCTGGCTAATTTTTTTTTTTTTTTTTAGATGGAGTCTTGCTTTATCACCCAGGCTGAAGTGCAATGGAACAATCTCAGCTCACTGCAACCTCTGCTGCCTGGGTTCAAGCAATTCTCCTGCTTCAGCCTCCCAAGTAGCTGGATTACAGGCACCTGTAATTTTTGTATTATTACAGGCACCTCGTTAATTTTTGTATTATTATTATTATTATTTTTAGTAGAGATGGGGTTTCACCATTTTGGTCAGGCTGGTCTTGAACTCCTGACCTCGTGATACACCCGCCGTGGCCTCCCAAAGTGCTGGGACTGCAGGCGTGAGCCACCGCACCTCGCTGACCCCTGGGTTTTAGTAACCTCCCCTAAGTCCTGGGCTGCTGAGAGATAGCAAAACAATGATTTAAGGACCAGGGCTCTCGTGTCAGATCTGGGCTCAAATCAGGTGGCCTGGAAAAGTCAATTCGCCACTTTTTTTAAAAAGTATTTTTTATTTAGAGACAGGGTCTTGCTCTGTCGCCCAGGCTGGAGTGCAGTGGCTCCATCACAGCTAACTGCAGTCTCAAACCCCAGGGCTCAAGGGATGGTCCCAAGTTGGGACGACAGGCGTGCTCCACTGCGCGTTGCTAGTAGCAGTGGTAATAGTAGTAGTAGCAGTAATAGTAGTAGAAACAGTAGTAGTATCTTTGGTTAGGCAGAGTTTCGCCGTGTTGTTTAGGCTAGTCTCGAACTCCGGGGCTCCAGGGCTCAAGCGATCCGCCTGCCTTGGCCTCCCAAAGTGCTGGAACTTTGAGCCACCGCGCTGGGCCAATTCCCCACTTTATCCCTCAGTTTCCTCGTCTGAGCAATGAAGATACAAGTAGCGCTGAAGGTTAGGCAAGAAAGCAATGAGTTGTGAGACGCACTTGGCGAGGTGCTGGTTATCAGTCTTGCCAGGCCTCAGCACGCTTCCCAAGGAGGCCCAGCCGGAGGCGCTGTGCCGCAGCACGGAAGAGGCGGGGTGAGCCATCGGGAGGGCGGCGCTGGGACCCGGACGCCACTTGCGCTAGGCACCACCGCGTGCCCGTCAATCAAGGTCTTCGTGGGGCGTGGCGCGGCGGGGCGGGGCGGGGCGGGGCGGTGCTTCCGCCTGCGGGAAGCCGCGCCGGGCCGCTTGGAGGTGCCCGGCACAGTCGGGAGTTTGCGCCAGCTACCGCCGCCGTCTGTGCGGCCCGATGAGGGGGGCGATGGAGCTGGAGCCTGAGCTGCTGCTGCAGGAGGCCCTCGAGAGCGTGGAGGCGGCGCAGAGCTACCGGCGGGAGCTGGGTCACCGGCTTGAGGGGCTGCGGGAGGCGCGGAGGCAGGTCGGAGGGCCGCGCCCAGAGGGGCGCTGTGGGCCCAGGGGCGGCGCGGGTGCAGGGCGAGGGCAGGGAGGGCTTCGAGGGGCGGGAGTGTCCGAAAACTCTGGAGTAGGGAAGAGGCATTCATTGAAGGTGAAGGGAGACCTAGTGGGGTCTGGGAACGGGAAAGGTAGAAGTTGGGGAGGTCGTAAGGGGAAGTTTTGGGGGTGGAGGGAGGGTGTGAGGAGCGTTCCCTAAACTGTGGGACAGCCGTGGGATTAGCGGTGGCTTCCGAAGCTGGGGAGAGTGAGGGACCAGAGCAGAATCCGAGGGGGTCACGCGGGTAGTGGTGAGTCGGGGGAGGAGACTATTTGGGAAAACCTGGGGGGTAGACATGGATTTTGGAGACCCTGAAGAAAGGGTAGGACAGTGACCTGGGAAAGCTGAAAGTGGAGACAAAATGGTATTGGAAGGGGAGGACTAAGGGGCGAGAGTGAGGGAGAGGTAGAATTGAGAAGCAGTAGCGTTGACAATAAATGAATTCCGTTAATGCCTGAATATACGATCTTGAATGCATTTAAAAAATCATTTAGAGTAATCCCGTTCTAGAAGGTTTAAAATTTAAGGTGAAAGTGAAGCTATGTTGGAAAAGTAGAAGGAGGAAAATGATTTCGTTGTCCTTGAGAGAGAATACAAAGGTATAGGGAAAAGAAAAAAAACAGATTTTAAGAGAGGAGTGCTGAAAGGAAAAGCTAAATATACTTTCAAGTGGTGCAGTTATCTGTTTCACGGGGATTGAGTTATCAAAGATACAGGAAAGCCCTGTGGTTTCTCTACAGCCTCGAACATATACAGAAAAAGATATAACCTGCTGCCATTGGGAGATAGGACAGATAATCTTCAGGCTACTATTAACACAACTGCTTAATAAGTGCTTTTTTTTCTTTTTTTTTGACAGAGCCTTGCTCTGTCACCCAGGCTGGAGTGCAGTGGCGCGATCTTGGCTCACTGCAGCCTCCACCTCCCAGGTTCAAGTGATTCTCCTGCCTCAGCCTCCTGAGTGGCTGGGATGACAGGCGCGCACCACCACCCTCAGCTAATTTTTTTGTATTTTTACATGGGGTTTCACCATGTTGGCCAGGCTGGTCTTGAACGTTTGACCTCGTGATCTGCCCGCCTCGGCCTCCCAAAGTGCTGGGATTACAGGCGTGAGCCACCGTGCCCGGCCATTAAGTGCTTTCTGAGTAAGTGGGATTCCATCTGAATTTCTCTGGGTCACACTTAGTATTAATCTATATGGTCATCTTAGAACTCCCATGGTGTATAGAACCCGAAAATGGTAGAAAACTGCTGCCCTAACAGTGTCTTTGGATATTCTCATCATTAAGGACATAACATGTTTGGGTTATATATATATATATATA